CGAACGCGCGGTTGTTGAGTTAGGGTGCTCGTTGCTGGAGCCCTCGGCTGCTCTGGTGCAGAGCCGGGCGCTTGCAGCGGGCTTTTCTCTACCCGGGAGGGGTCCGGAGGGCGCTGGGACGCCCGTGGCGCGCGGTCGGACGCAGCTAAGCGGGAAGAATTAAAAAAAATCCCACAAACAACTGCCTTAAAGTCTGCAGCTTGATGGTAGGGACCAGGTGTGTCCAGCTGCTCCGGGGCTCTAAGCTGAAAGTGTCATTTCGGGGGTTAAACAGAAGTCGTTGGAAGGGAAGAAGTAAAATCAGCTGCTAGTTGATACTACGTTTTTAAAGGGACAGTTCTGTCAGTGGCTGCTTTCAGTGGTGCTGCCGGCTGCAGGGATCCCAGGCGTATTCCTTTTTGATGTTTCTGCTGCTGCTCCCGTGATTCAGCCTGGGCTCGAGTCCCGGGGCTGCAGCCGCCCTCACCGCGACGCTGCGTGCGGTTCCGACTCCATCGTCAGCTTCTGTGGTCTGAGGCTGTTCCGGGTTCCTCTGACAAAGATGAGGTTGACCTGCTCTGCCCTTTCTCCCGTGCTGTGTGGGGCCAAACCATCACTAGCAGCTGCCCTGCTGCTACTAGAACTGAGTGGGTTTGGCTGAGATGGGAAACGTGGGAGGGTGTTTCAGCAGTAGCTAGAGAAGTGGTGGCGGTTGAGGGAAAGTTCTGCTGAGATGGAAGCCCCACTGAACGGGCAGAAGGCAGTAGATGGTGCTGTGTATGTCTGGCAGTGGTGCAAAGAACCTGTGTTCGGGAGCAGACCATGGGAAGCTGAGTGAAGGGCTTCTCCCTAGCTTTTCAGTGGCAGGGCATGCCTCGGAGTGAGACAGTGTAGGGTGAGAGGCTGTTTTGTTTCCCCGTGGTTCCTATCTGTAATAAATATCTAATAATATGTTGTGGACAGTTTGATGTCAGGAGATGGGCAGTTGTGGTTACTATACAGGAAGCTTTCTGAGCCTGGGATTTGCATATTTAGCTCGAGACAGCAGAAAAAACAAGCAGGCCTTCTGTTTTATTCTGGGGCTAAAGTGATTTTTGTGGTTATTGTTTGCCTTTCAAGTTAACTTTGTAAATGGATTGGCTACACAAGTGTTTGTCTGGAAGACCTGAATGGTTCTTAAGAGTGAAGACATGGAAAATGTCAGCATGATTACATAGGTACCCAAGATAAAGTGCTAAGATCCAGTGCTTCTCTCTTTGAATAGGCAAGGTAACAAATGGCTTAGCAACAGGTGCTGCTGCCCACTGTTGTAGAGGACCTGTCAGCCATCTGTTGCTACAGTTCATGAAACTCTTAGTGTTGCCAGGGGGCATCCAGTTGAAGAAGATTTAATTAATCAGCAAGTAATGCTAAGGTTGTGAGATGTCTGTGGCAGGCTGACAGCAGGAGTATCCTCTCTAGCAACTATTGTCATAATTTCTGCATGCTGCGCAGTAATTTTTGAGTGATGGAGAAACTTTTGCTTGGAGCTTGTGCAGGACAAAGCTGGTTTGCTAAATTAGGATGTGCAAATGTGGAGTGGCCCTGTTGCCTGCTAGGACAGGACCTGGTCAACCTAGGAAATAGGAGGTACTGTAAATACCTATACCCCATTGTCGTTCTTCAGTTTGTGTTCTTTGACACTAATGTAACAAAAATACTACAATAGTGTCACAGCTGGATTGGTCCTTTATGAAAAGCTCTGCAATCCCTTATTCCTTTCCTAATATGTCAGGCTATTTTATACCAAGAATAAATTTTTAATAGAAGTGCATTAATAATAAAAAAACACCTTTTGAGAATCAGTGAAGGCATCAGAAAAATGTGGTTTTAGGCAAATTGCAAGCTTTGAAGTCCTGTTCCTCGTGGAGAACATGCGTTTATCCTTTCAGTTCTGCATATATGTGGCTTGAGTCAGGATAATGAGATGAAGGAATATCATCCTGACTTTTCCCCTGTGCTGTTTAGCTGTCATATTGTGAAAATGGTAGGTTTCAGCTGGGTAAGGTTTGCAATTGTTAGTGGTAGAATGTAACAGTGAAGAGCTATACCACAGGAGCACTTTTGCTATGCAAACTTAGTTGGAAATACCTACAAGGGATAAAAGTTGTAGTTGTAATTTCTCCTTTCCAGAATAATTCCCTCTTCAAGTGATCTCAAAACAGAGTGTTTACCTTGGGGAAGTAAAGTAGAATATTAGGATTTATATATGCATTCCATATTCCATTGGATTTTAAGCCCATGCTGTTGGGTAGCTTTTGTTCTGACTTGGTATGGTCATAGAATCATTGAATGGTTTGGGTTGGAAGGGACATTAACAATCTAGTTACAACTCCTCACCATAGGCAGGGACACCTCCCACTAGACCAGGTTGCTCAAAAACCCTTGCAGCTTGGCCTTGAACACTTGTGAGGTGGGGGGAGGCATCCACAACCTCCCTGGGCAACCTGTTCCAGTGTCTCAGCACACTTGCACTAAATAATTTTTTCCTAATGTCCAATGTAAATCTACCCTCTTTCAGCTTACAACCATTACCCCTCATCCTATCACAACAAGCCCTTGTAAACAGTCCCTCCCCAGCTTTCCTGCAGGCCTCCTTGAGATACTGGAAGGCCTCTATGAGGTCTCCCAGGAGACTTCTCTTCTCCAGGCTGAGCAACCGCTACTCTCTCGGCCTGTATTCATAGCAGAGGTGCTCCAGCCCTTTGATCATCTTTGTGGCCCTCCTCTGGACCACCTCCAAAAGCTCCATATCCTTCTTATGTTGAGGGCTCCAGAACTGGACACAGTAACTCCAGATGGGGTTTTTTGAGAGCAGAGTAAAGGGGCAGAACCACCCCTCTTGACCTGCTGGCTACAGTTCTTTTGATGCAGCCCAGGAGACAGTTGGCTTTCTGGGCTGTTGGTTAACTAGTTCCAGCTCTAGAACACTATGTGGTAATGCGCTTTGTATTCTAAGTTTCAGTAGAGTGTGAAATCAAGGTGATTCATCCTGTGTCCTGTTACCACTTCTGGTTTGCTACTATTTCTGGTACAGTTACAGAGGCAGTTTTTCTCCTGCACTCTTCTGAATAAAAGAGGGAATCTGTTTCTCAAAGTTCACCAGCAATCTGTTTAAAATAAAATTTTAAACAACTTCTGGCTTAGCAGAAGTATGAACAAGGTTGTAAACAAAAAAACCCCACCAAACAACAAACCAACAACAACAGAAAAAGCTGACCTAATTTTTTCCCTGCCTAGGAATTTTTCCAAATATTTTTTCATTTAGTTTGCAACCAACTCGTGTCCTGTCTGGAGGTGGCAATTACGTGAGCTGAATGCTGAAAAAAGATGTTGGTACTTGTTTAGCTGAGCTGGCTCCCTGCCTCCTCCCTGCTTTGCTTCCAAGGACAGAGTTCAGCACTTTCTAGCATGGCTTTATGAATTGATCCTCTCTGATTTCTGGGGTCTTTTTCGACCTGTCTGCAGACTGTTTCCAACTTGAAAAATGCATTGTTAGTGTGCCAGAGTATGGCTCCATGTAGTGCAGGCTCCTGATGGAGGAAGAGTCAAGTGTTACCCATAGCAGACAGGTAAATTGGGTTTTGGTGAGCTGGGGGCTATGCCATACATTTGTAAAACATAGGGTCTGTCTGATGGCCACCTTTATTATTACCACTGTATTTCCTGCAGCATTTTGAGATGCTGCTGATGAAGCACAAATTTGGAAAGCTTCTTCAGAATAGGGTTCTCAGAGAGCTGGAAGCAAAGATGAGGCAGAAAACTGTACACTGAAGGAGCATCTATTCAGAGAGGCAAGCTGTAGAGACAACGAAGCACACTATGTGATGTGCAGGATTTAAAACCAAACAGATGACTGTAGATCTTTGCTTCCCACTGTTCATGAGGAGATGGGTGGGAATCACGTAGATAAAAGGAACAGAAGCCTATAGAAAGGAGGACTGAGAGGGTTCTGATGGCTCATCTCAGCTGTTTGGGCTGGAGCTCTTGGCGTCAAGGAGATGACTTAGAGGCTACATTAAAGCAAAAGCAAGCTCTAACGTCTACGCACCATTGGGTTGAAGCTCTTGCAAAACATGAGTTATGCTCCATGGCAATCTGCATTGTGGTCATACTTTCAGATACAATTTTTTGAGTCTTGCTTCTGAAAGCCTTTAACTCAAGGACTGATTTTATTTTCCTGAATAATTTGATGGTTTAACACGAGTAGGCTTAAGCCTTTTGTATAAGAACCTGCTGATCCTGCCTGTATGGTGTTAAAACTTTCAGCTTGAGAGTGGCTTGCTTTTTTGTATTTTATTTTCCCTTCAACTGCTTCATACTTGTTATAAAGCAAATTTTATTTCTCTTATATTCTTGCTGAGACTTCATCTGATTTAGAGCTAATTTTCCAGTGTTGGTATAGATGTAATCCTGTAATAGTTTTTTCTTGGCCTTATCTTGTCTCCAGTGAATTATTTTTTAATAGTACTAATGTCAAAACAGAAGCTGCATTGCAAGACTGTAGAAGGAGGACAGTAAGATCAGTTAACAATTGCCAGTGATTTTCAAGTACTACTGTATGTAAGTTGTAATGAGGTATAAGGATGTTTTTGTGCTTCACAGATAATTCTTTTTTTACAAGTGTTTTGATGGTTGTGCATAACCAAAATGCAAAATAGATGTTTACTCAAAGTGAGTAAGCCCAAGATGAATGAAGAAGAGAGATGAACAACAGGAGATCATTCATCTACATGGTTGTGAAAGATAAGTGAGGTGCCACTATTGTAAATTGGATTTTTGGTAAAAAGGCTGTTTGATTATTTTGCTATATGCATATAAATGTGTCTTTGTTATGAAATAATTCTGTGTATGTTCCTAAGAGGAAAAGTAGGATTACTTTTGTTGATGTTGTGGGGGTTTTGTGGTGTTGTGCTTTTTTTTTTTTTTTTTTTTTTTCTTTTTTTTTTTTTTTTTTCAGTTTTGGCTTTGTGTTTAACATTTGGGCTGGGCTTTGTTTGGGATCCTAAAGCATTACAATACTGCATCTTCATTCCTGATGATAGCTCTGAAATTTCTACAGTTTTCTCTTTCAGTCATATTTGGCTCTTACCTGTCAAGGTATCTTGGTGTTGGCTCACTAATGGAAGTGCAAAATTGTTATTAACTGCTCTGATCCTAGAAAGAGGTGAATTTGGGACTCAGTTGAAGAATTTTTTTTGCTTACTTTTCTCTTTCTCTGTCGTTACCATATAGGCAATTAAAGTAGAATTATTTTTTTTTAATGAAGTTTCCTAGTGTCCGGTTTGCATTTGTGTACTACTTACAGTGTGGTGTCTGGTACCAAGAGGCAGCTCTGCATTGCTGTTCAGATGTTGCTGTAGTGGAAATTATTGCACTTTAAGACTAGTTTATATAGAGAGTTTGGTGTATGTCCTTATGAACTTCTGATACTCTTGTTTATGCAGCTGACTGTGTGCTGGTGACTGTACTTAGGTGAAGGATCAATTGAGTGTAATTCTGTTTAGATAGATGGAGCTGTTACCTGACGTCATGTGATTGCAGCTGTAGGTGAAGTAAACCAATTACTGTTTCACAGATTGCACAGCTCAGGTTGCACAAGTGTATAGGATAAGGAATTTCAAAGCTGCTTGAATATTGCATATATTTTCTTACAGCAGATACTCAGAAAAGCGTGGAAGATGAAATTGAATCAATTCTGCAGGAGCGGATAATGATTTTGGATGGAGGCATGGGTACCATGATCCAGCAACATGCCCTGTCAGAAGAAGATTTCAGAGGGAACGAATTTAAAGATCATCCCAGGTCTTTGAAAGGCAATAATGACCTTCTCAGTATAACTCAACCTGATATAATCTGTGACATACACAAGGTGGGTGGTTCTGGTTTCTGTCTCTAGACAAGAGAAGGAAGGAGAATTTGGTCTCTGCACTCCCCTTTTCCATGCCACAGGCTACTGGCTCTCCTGCATCTTTTGGGAATAGGGAAGAGAGTGCTAGGTAACCATGCGAAAAAGAATGAACAGATTTAACTGTTCTGGTTGTGTGAACACAGCATTTGTGTCTTGGTTCCTGATGTCACCAAGACAGTGTTGTTTTTTAAATCCCTTTTTTATTTATGTCCCTGATGCGTTTGTATTAATTGTATAGTATGATTTATTTCATTTTTGTTTTCTCCTCAACCAGTTCTAGAGGTGCATCTAAGTAGAACACATCTGAATTCTAGATTCATGTTTCTATAATTGTCTATTAAGGAGTTGTTAAATGTGGCAGCCTGAAGCAGACCTCTCCATAGTTAATGAGTATATAGACTTCCTAATGAGTATATTTGCTGTGTTGAACCCACTGAACTAACCTGCTTCTTACAGGAAAATCTGAGTAGTTTATGTTTAATGTCTACATAAACTTTTTTTACTTAATAGCACTCAAAATGTTCTAATTTAGGGGTCACAGGGGTCACCTAAGGGTTAACCTGATCAAAAAGAGGAGTTAGGGATGGAGGAGACCAACTGATAAAAGTTATCAAAACACAGACTAGAATCCTCAAAAATTTTATTTCAATTTGCATTGATTTCAGTTTACTTCAGTGGGAATGAGACACAAAAGTGGGAGCAGAAGGCTTAATTTTTTTTGTGAATCTGGGCCTTTACTTAAACTTTAAATGTGATCTACACAAAACGTAGTTCTTGTATTCTATCCCATTTTATTCTTGTGCTGTACAGGCAACTTCAGAATATTAAAATTTTGTAATTCTCTGTTGCTGTTTGCCTGGTGCCTTTTCTGATTCTGCCCATAGCAGCCCTCACTTGCTAATGGCAATTGGACTCTGTCTCACCTTGTCCTTGTGCACAAATCTAGAATGTGCTCTGGGTGCTGGACTCAGTGGCAGAGATGACTATAATGGTCACCTGTTAATAAAAAGTGTGGCTGCCAATAAAGCTCTGAAAATTGGTTACATGGAACACTATTGCTTTGGCCATAGGCCTTAGAGTAAGGCCTTCAGAGTTTGATCTGCTTTGAATTAAAAGGTGATTTCTGACATTTTGTCAAATGAACGAGACAAATAGTTGGGTTGCTTTAATTCCAGATCTGAGTTCTGAAGGTCTTCGAGTTTGTTTTTTTCTTTCATGTCTTGCAGGAATACTTGTTGTCAGGTGCTGACATCATTGAAACAAACACTTTCAGCAGCACCCGAGTTGCACAAGCTGACTATGGCCTTGAGCATTTGGTAAGATTGTTGAACTATTTATACATTAAATGTTAATCAAGATTTTTGTCTTAGTGTCCAAGATTAGCTTAGTCTCAGAGTCTGTTGGTGTTGTGTTTTTTGACTGCATGTTGTCTCTAGAGCCATGTGATGGGGTTGTAGATAATTTCCGTTGCTGTAGATGCTTGTACTTGCTGTGAGTGTCAGTCATAGTGTGCCTATTGTTGACAAAGCCACAGACAATAATGTTCATAGAATCAAAGAATGGACTGGGTTGGAATGGACCTTAAAGATAATTTAGTTCCAACCACCCTGCAATGGGCAGGGACACCTCCTACTAGAGCAGGTTGCTCAAAGCCTCTTCCAACCTGGCCTTGAACACTTCAGGCAGGGGACATGCACAATTTCTATGGGCAAGCTGTTCCAGTGTCTCAGCACCCTCACAATAAACAATTTATTTTAATATCTAATCTAAATCTATCGATTTTCAGCTTAAAACCATTGTCCTATTGCTACTTGCCCTTGTAAAAAGTCCCCCCAGCTTTCCTGTAGGCCCCCTTCATATACTGGTGGCAAGCCGCTCTAAGGTCTCCTTGGAGCCTTCTCTTCTCCAGCTGAACAACGCGAACTCTCTCAGCCTGTCTTCATAGGAGAGGGTTTCAGAGGGCTCCAGCCCTCTGATCATCTTTGTGGCCCTCCTCTGGACTCATTTCAACAGGTCCATGTCCTTCTTATTTTGAAGGCCCCAGAGCTGGATACAGTATTTCAGGTGGGGTCTCATAAGAACAGAGTAGAGGGGGTGAATCACCTCCTGGTTTTTGTTTGAGCATTCCTAGAATGTCTTAGTTCTGTCAACAGAGGTGTTTGCCTTCAGTCTTTCCAACTTACTAAATGCCACAATGGAACTGCTTTTTTCCTGGATGTTATTTGAGTGTTGTTCATGGTGATGTATAGGGAAGTCCTTTCAAGCTTGCATTTCTCATTCCTGTTTTTTTCTGTGTTGTTTTGAGAATTTGAGAAATATGTGAAAGGAAATACGCTACTTGAATAAAAAGTGAATCTAAAAGTAGGTTAATTTGGTCCTCAAAGTCTAGAGCTTCTGTTACTTCAGTAGGATTAATTCAGTACCTTCCAGAATGAAATTCTATGATTAGCAGCTATAGGTTGGGGCATATATGGGATGAGACCTGCCCCAGAACTCTCTTGCTGAGATGTATAGAGCTGTTCCTTTTGAAGTTTTGTAATAGTGCGTATGCTTATCTGTATGGCTTAGGGAGCTTTCAGAGAGTGCTGCAGGCTGCTGTATGGAAATACTATGTTTCTCTGAGAATGAGTTATGCTGTACTGAACTGAAGGCTACTTGGTAATTTTCTGTAATTGTTGTAGGCATATCGGTTAAACAAAGTCTCCGCACAGGTGGCCAGAAAAGCAGCAGATGATGTAACTGCTCAGACAGGTAAGCAATATTTAATTTCTTATTCATTTGTGGGTTTACTGTAGTCTTTGAAATGTTGCTAACTAGAAGATAGCTTGGTGGTTTATATCAAAGGGACATAACTTGCAGACATGCACACTTTTCATTTTAGGCACAGTAGCAATATTCCATCTCTATTCACGTCACACCAATTTCAACATGTTTGCAGGATCTGGCTCATAGTGTGTTCTGCAGAATGGCTATTGCCATAGTAGACAAGAAAATGTTTCTATAAATATATTAGCAACAAAAGGAGAGCTAAGGAGAATCTCCATCCTTCAGTGGATATGGAGGGAAACACAGTGACAAAGGATGAGGAAAAGGCTGAGGTACTTAATGCATCCTTTGCCTCTGTAGTTAGTAGTAGGATCAGCTGTCCAGGTACCCAGCCCCCTGAGCTGGCAAGCTGCTCCTCCATCATCTGTCAGCAGTCCTGGTTAACAGGGAAAGTGCCAGACTATCGGAGGCTTGCCAATGTGACACCCATCTACAAAATGGGCTGAAAGGAGGATCTGGGGAACTACAGCCCTGTTGTCCTGATCTCAGTAGTGGGTAACATCATGG